CTGATTCCTAGAGTGGGACTGTCACTCTCTACCCTGAGAACAGCTTCGCTCTCTACAGGGAAACCTAGGAATCAGAAATGATCCTTCACTGATGAAGAAGACACAACCACAAAGGAAAAATGTCCCCCATCTGCTTATATCCTATAATCCAATAAAGGTGACACACTTGAAACTCCCAATGATTCAACCTTCCTAATTACTGAAGGTTTTATCTGACGACAGACTGTAACCCCAGCACCTCATATAATGAGTTAGTATGCTCCTTATTCTGCTATACCCTCTGACTTCAAAATACATTTCAGAAAGGAGTCACAAAAGATCAACAACATCTACAAAACACTCAGGGGGCAGACTATTTTAAATGAGGGCTTTGCAGAGAAGTTGTTGTTGTTGTTGTTGTTGTTATTATTATTATTAGGTAGCTATTTAAATAGTCTGTGGACTGATCGGTCAGCTGCACTTAGCTTGTCTGTCCTTTGTGAAATGATGCGGGAGGACAGGGAAGGAGGGATCAGACATTTAAAAGTTTAAATAACTGCAAAGCATATAATTTGCACTGGATGAGGATATTAACATTTTAACATTGTTGCTGTTGTTGTTATTATCCAAATGTTCCTTATAAACCATCTGTTCTTGCTTTCTGAATAAAAATTCTTCTTTTATCTGAGGAAACGGATAGATTTTGGGGGGAGAGGGGCATCTCTGCTCCTTGTGTTGTGTTTGTTTATCCCCAGTTGCCTTTTTAAGATTTTATTTATTTATTTGACAGAGAGATCACAAGCAGGCAGAGAGGCAGGAAGGGGGGCGGGGAAGCAGGCTCCCTGCTGAGCAGAGAGCCCAATGTGGGGCTCGATCCCAGGGCCCTGAGATCCTGACCTGAGCTGAAGGCAGAGGCTTAATCCACTGAGCCACCCAGGCACCCTGCCTTGTTATTTTTTTAAGATTTTATTTATTTATCTGAGAGACAGCAGAGGGAGAGAGAGGAAAGGGAGAAGCAGACTCCCCAATGAGCAGAGAGCCCAAAGTGGGGCTCAATCCCAGGACCCCAGGATCACGACCTGAACTGAAGGCAGATGCTTAACCAACTGAGTCACCCAGGTGCCCCCCTCATTGCCTTTTTAAATCCCATTTGTTTTGGTCTCTGTCACTGGCATTCAACACTTTAGCACCTGATGTTTGATGATCCAGAGATAATGTCTTACTCAGACTGAGTGAAGGTCCAGTGAACTGCCTGGAAGGTCTGAGTGTACAGATGGGCTTCTTGTTTTTGAACTTTCCTGTACTGGTCTAGGCGGAATGTCTGATGTCACTACCTCTGGGTTTGTCCTCTTGGCTGGTAAGTTTCTTCAGAGAAGACTCTCCCAATCTCCTGCCTGAAGGGGCAGGTTTCACAGCCAGCATTCTGGGAATCACTGAAAAGAGAGCGCTGGGGGACTCTCCATCCATCCTTCAGAAATCAGTCACTCAAACCTCCTGTTGCAGGCAAAGTACCCAAGTCCCTATTCCCAGTCCAGACATAACTGGTTTTCCTCTCTCCAGAGAATAAAAGTCTACTGTCAGGGAAGGCATGAGGCAGTCACCCAGTGACACAGTGGGAGACGGGATTCAGAGAAGACTGCTTTCTCACTTACGTGCTGTCCCTCTTCTGAAGATACCTGACACTGCCAATTCCTGAGACTTCTGAGGAATCGCTGGTATAAATAAGGCTGGTTTTTATTTCCCCACTGACAACTAGGGATTTAGCTTTTTTAGGTGTATTAAGTCCATTACCACTTCTCTGTCTACTTTCTGGCTTTCAAAATGTTGTTTGTTTCCTTCCTCTCTGTTGTCTCCATTCTTATATGTTCAGGCTTAAAACAATTCCTTGATTATAGTTTCAGTGGAGTTTCAAGAGACAGCAAAAATTTGTCACCTTAACTGAAAACCCACATCTGCCAAAGCCTTTGGAAACTAAAGATGTGTTAGTATATTTAACTACAGTTGTGTGTTACTGCCTTATTAAGAATGGAAAGGAAAAACAGGAAATGTATCTTCTTTGGTTAAAGCTGGTAATAAAACAACTCTTGCTAGAAGGCTTAAAATTTATAATTAACACTTTTTTAGCTATTAAAACTGGGATAAACTGATAGGACGATCTGCATTCATAACCAGGTATACTCATTATATAGTTGGTTACCAAGTATTTCAGAGTAGACAGAAGTCAAGGTTATGCTTATAAAACTCAGACTGTACAGCAATGGGAACATACTGCCTCTTCAATGACTATTCCCCAGACTAGAGAACTACTCCATTTTGATAATGTTATCTCTGTGGTCATTTCTTGTCTTTATCTGTACTGGCAGTTCACTGACCCATCACAATTTCTCTCGTTTTTTTTTTTTGTTTGTTTGTTTGTTTTAAGATTTTATTTATTTATTTGACAGAGAGAGACAGTGAGAGAGGGAACACACGCAGGGGGAGTGGGAGAGGGAGAAGCAGGCTTCCTGCTGAGCAGGGAGCTCAATATGGGGTGCAATCCCAAGAGTCTGGGATCATGAGCTGAGCTGAAGGCAGATTCTTAACGCCTGAGCCACCCAGGTGCCCCCCATCACAATTTTTTTTTTCTTTTTTAAGATTTTATTGAGAGAGAAATCACGAGCAGGCAGAGAGGCACACAGAGAGAGAGGAGGAAAGCAGGCTCCATGCTGAGCAGAGAGCCCGATGTGGGGCTCGATCCCAGGACCCTGAGACCATGACCTGAGCCAAAGACAGAGGCTTTAACCCCCTGAGCCACCAGGCGCCCCCCACCTCCAATCACAATTTCCGATACTATTTTTTGTTGCTTCTGTGTATAGCAAAAGCCTTTCCCCTTTGTTATTCTTTTATTACTCTTTGACTATTCTCCCTTTCCTTGATTTTTTAAAAAAATTTTTAAGATTTTATTTGATAGAGATAGAGCATGAGGAGGGGCAGGAGCATAGGGAGAAGTAGACTCCCCGCTGAGCAGGGAGCCCAACACGGGGCTCGATCCCACATGATGTGCAGACACTTAACCAAATGAGCCACAAAGGCGCCCTAACACTTCTGTTTTGATATGAGAAAGATTTGGCCTCTCTCTCTTCCAGAAGGTAAATCTATCAATAATATATGCAATCATTCTTTCATTTAACAAATATGTATTGAGTATCTATTATAGGCCAGGCCCTGTCCTAGGCATTAGGGATAAAACAATGAGCAAATCAAAGTCTCTCATCTCATCTCATCTCTCATCTCATAAAGCTTTTATGCTAGTAGGGGTGACAGACAATAAACAACTATGTCATATAGAGCTAGGTCGTAAAACAAAATGGGAAGTAAATAAATGACATAGGTGGGGTAGGAACACTAGTTATATAAGGTGATGACAGAAGGCTTCTTTTATTTTTTATTTTTTTAAAGTAGGCTCCTCGCCCAGTGTGGAGCCCAGCATGGGGCTTGAACTTAAGACCCTGAGGTCAATATCTGAGCTGAGATCAAGAGTCAGATGCTTCACCGGCTGAACCACCCAGGTGCCCTGAGAAGTTTTCTTTTAAAAGGTGCTGTCTGAATAGAGACAGAAGGAAGAAGCTCTATGGATATTTGTGGACTAAGTACCCCAAAGAGCAAAATAACAGGTACAAAGGCTATAAGGAGGCAGCAGGCTTGGCTTGCTAAAGAAACAGCAAAGGGACTGTTGGGATGGGAGCAGAATAAGCTTTTTTTTCTATCAATGTTTACTATTTTTGCCATGGTTTACTCTCTACAAGACTTTAATATACCTTTCAGATTTGAACAGACTCAGATTCTAACTTCTATGAGAGGCTGAAATTGTTTTAAGTCTAGTGGATAAGTGGGACTGTTACTGAATAGGTTATCATTTGCTGCAATAAGCATTTTGGTTGAACACAGGCTTGTAAGCAATCCAAATTACAGACATACTGCCTAGTTTGGACACAAAGAGGGTGATAATTCAGTGGGAAGACGTAAAAGCCAGATCTGATTTTGAGTCCTGGTCTTATGCTTATTTGCTCTGTGATCTTGAGTCATGACCCTAGTAGCAGTACACAAATACACTTTTACCCGTTTATTCTAATTTTAAAATGTAAAAGAAGCATAGTGAATATGGGGAAAGAATAATGGCTTGGGAGTAGGATTCTGAATTAAACACCTTTGCTGCTGCTTATTAAACGTGTAGCCTTAGACAGTCATTTAAAAGTCCGAATTTCCTTATCTATAGAAGCAAATAAAAATATGTACTTTATAAAAGCATTATAAAGATTAAATGACATAAGGATCAATGCATGTGAAAGCCATTTGTATACTATAAAATGTAAATTTAAGATACATACATACTTTTAAACTACCCATAGAGCTTTCAAACTTGTATCTTACCCATTTAAAATTCATCTAAATGCTTTCAAAATTTATCCTTCCCAGTTGGTTCCCTATTTTGATTGATGATAAATTCTATTCAAATAACCTTTGATCTTTTGAATTACATAGCAAAATTCAATGGATATGAACGACTCAGCTTGAAATCCCCAAAAAGGGTCAGAATGCAGATTTTCATTTAAATTTATTTCACTCAGATGAACATTTCGTAAAGATAAATATGGGTATATGGAGAAAATAATTTGAAAGGGTAACTTAACAATCATTTTGTACACTTCAGTAACTGTTAATGACTTTTCAGTAGGGTTTTTTGTTTTGTTTTTGGGTTTTTTGGCCTGTTTTGTTTTCTGAACCTCTACTGCTAAACCACTGCATGCTAAAGATAAATTTGCAGTCATGTATTTGCTATCAAATACTTGAAGACAGTTTTTGAAGACTGTACTAGAGATACTCTTTCTTAATATCACATGGTTAGATATTAGTTAAAAGTGTCCATTTGTTACCAGATAGTAATTTAAAAAGGAACCCAAAAGAGTATTAGCTAAAGCCTTTAAAATACCATCAGTGGTCTCAAAAATATTTTATAAGAGATTTAACAGAATGGAACTTACTCCATGCCCTGCGCAGTCTGCCGTGCAATATCTATAAGCTTGATCATCTCAAATTTGGTCTCGATGATGTGGAGATGGTGATATAAGCTGGAGCCCTCACACCACTGGGTAACAATAGCTAGTTGGGGCTTTGTTGAATAGCCCATGAAAAGTAGGATGTTCACATGTCGAGTTTTCCTGTAAAAGGAAAAATGTCAGTAAATACTAAAGGTTGATAAACTTCAGGAAATCTTTAAAAAGTCCCAAAACAGACTAATTATCAGTAAGATGATGTCAGAAAAAAGTATTTTAAAAAAGACAACAGAGGGGTGCTTGGGTAGCTCAGTCGGTTAAGCATTCGACTCTTGGTTTTGGCTCAGGTCATGATCTCAGGGTGGTGAGATGGAGCCCCACCTCCTACTCTATGCTCAGTGGATTCCTCGCTCAGTGGGAAGTCTGCTTGAGATTCTCTCCCTCTGCCCCTCCTTCCACTCGTGTATGCGCACACACCTGCTCTCTAAAATAAATAAATAAATCTTAAAAAAAAAAAAAAGGACAATGGAAGGATAAATTAAGAAATGACTTTAGGAATCGTCTAGTCTAACATCATACCCCTTTCAGAAAGGCCTTAAATTTTAATATACTTCAGACAGGCAACTGGAGGTTGCTTAAATACCTTAAATTATGTGAAGTTCATCACTGAGATTGTAGCTTATTTCCTTCACCACTCCCCCACTTTTTTTTGTTTCTTAAGTGATTCTAGTCTTAGAATTCTTTGGGGTTGAGAAAAAATCATTTCCCTACAACTTCCAGCACTGGCTTTCCTTTTCTGCTCTCTGGAATAAAATAGAGTAAGTTTGTACCCTCTTGAAAATAATGGCTTTCAATGGACCCAAATACCCTGAGTTCTGTTAATTGATTTTCCCCTAAGTTATAGTACCAGAATACTCCTCGTCTAAGTTGTCCTTGCCTGGATATACTTTAGTTTGTTAATTACCCTCAAGTTCCATGGTTGATACAATCTTTAAATGTGTTCTATAAATTTAGAATTTTGAGAGTATTATTTTGCTAAGTGGTGATATAATTTCCCATGAACAGAATATTTTATTTCTATTAATTCAGTCTAGGATGAATTTTTCCATCATTTATACCACATAACATTGTATACCACTTGAAGAATATAAAGACAAAATATACTCAGACAAACTCCATTTTACTCACTTCTAGTAAAACTGTAAAGCCACCATCAGCTGTCACTGGGAAAGAGAAGATGAAGGTAACTTCTCTGGAAAAGAGTAATTCACACATGCTCACCTGAGTACTCCTACTTCATTTTTGAAGGCCTGTAACTGCTGAGGTGTGGGCGCTGTCACATTCAACATTTTCACTGCCACATCACCTAAAAAAGAATGGTCATTCCAAATGTCATTCCATTTTTTTAAACTTAAAATATATATATATATATATAAAAAAACCCTGTTGGGTATTTTCCACTAATTACCATGGCTTTATTTCCATACCATTATTAAAGAGCAAACAATGATATCTCAACCTCCCAAAATGCATTACTTTTCTAAGGATAAAAACTAAGGGAACGAAATTCCTATATTAGTATTTCAAAAAACCAATGCAGGGGCGCCTGTGTGGCTCAGTTGTTAAGCATCTGCCTTAGGCTTAGGTCATGATCCCAGGGTCCTGGGATAGAGCCCCGCATCAGGCTCCCTGCTCGGCAGGAAGCCTGCTTCTCCCTCTCTCACTCCCTCTCCTTGTGCTCCTTCTCTCACTCTCTCTCTCTCTCTCTCTGTCAAATAAATAAATAAAATCTTTAAAAAACAAACAAACAAACAAACAAACAAACAAACAAAAAACCAATCCAGAAAAAGGGCCAACATTGTTTTTCCCCTGGAAATTTAGTTTAACCAATTAAGTACCCATGGTATTTTCCTAGTTATTTAACAATATTAAACTAGATGCTTTTATTAACTGAATGTTGAAACTACCGATGACAGTCCCAGTGAAGTTTGCCTGAAAGAGAAAACCGCAAAATTTCTTTATCAGAGTACTTAACATGTTTTTCAAATCCACTGATCGCATTCTTTCGCTTAGGAAAATTATTTAAATTATAATTAAAGAAAAATTTCATGTGAAACAGGCAGAACTCTTACACATTGCCAGTGGATGTGTAAAATGGTACAACCACTTGAAACATCTACTAAAATTGAACATATGTATATCCAGTGGTCCCACAATTCTTTCCTAGGTATACACCCAGCAAAAATGAAACATATGTTCACCAAACAACATGTACGAAGAATATTCACAGCAGCAGTACTTGTAATAGCCTCAAATTGGAAACTATTCAAATGCTCATCATACAGTAGAGTTCGAAAAAGAAATCATGGTTATAGGCACATAATCAATACTACACAGAGGATGGCTTACAACTACACACAATAATACAGATGAATCTTGCACTGTTTTGCAGATATACTATACTTTGATATAATTATTGATTTTTCCTGATTACCAAAGTAATATAGTGAAAAAAATTTTTTAAAAGACTCTATTTATTTGACAGAAAGAGACACGGAAAGAGGGAATATAAGCAGGAGGAGTGGGAAAGTGAGAAGCAGGCTTCCCACTGAGCAGGGAGCCTGATGCAGGACTTGATCCCAGGACCCTGGGACCATGACCCGAGCCAAAGGCAGACACTTAACAACTGAGCTACCCAGGCCGCCCATGAAAAAATATTTTGAGAACATAAAAAAATTAAAATCTCTGATAATCTGTCACTCAGAAATGATCTTTGTTAACATACTGATAATACATCATATCAGGCTTTTATATGTATGCAATGTGAACATTTATGAATACACATGAAAAGATAACCTAAAAAGATACATAGTAAAATACTGATGGGTTGTTTTTTTTTAAGATTTTATTTATTTATTTGACGGACAGAGATCATAAGTAGGCAGAGAGGCAGGCAGAGAGAGAGGAGGAAGCAGGCTCCCTGCTGAGCAAAGAGTCCGATGTGGGGCTTGATCTCAGGACCCCAGGATCATGACCTGAGCCAAAGGCAGAGGCTTTAACCCACTGAGCCACCCAGGTGCCCCTGATGGTCATTTTTAATTTTATGTTATGTTATATTTATTGGTAGGCAGTATCATAATATGAAGTATTATACATGCTGCTTTGTAAAATTCAATATACCATGGACACCTCTCTGAATCAACAAATAAAGATCACACTATTTCATGCCTATATAATCATATATGGAGATTATCAATTCATCCTGTCCTCTATTAATGAACAGGTAAGTTTATTTCCATTTTTCATTAATATAATAGTCTCTAATGAATATACTTGTACATACATTTGTTTCTGTTCAGTTAGTTGTAGTTCTAAAAATGGAATTGTTAGCTCAACATACATACTGACAAACTGCCCTCCAGAAAATTTGTAACAATTTATTTTCCTACTAGCAGTGTCACAATCATAGCAATAAACATGATCAATTAAAAAAAAAAAGAATCTGTTCACTTGAGAAGCAAATAATGATTTCTGGTTTTTGATTTTGTAATTCTTTGATAACTAGAGAGGCTAAACATTTTTATATGTTTACTGGCTATTTCCTCCTTTGGGAAGTAGGCTTTTAATGTTTATTTGTGATTTATACTACAAAGAAAACCAGCAAAAAGACTTCAAAAAGAAAAAAATCTCGAGGTACAGCTCTCCTAGAGAACTGTCATCTTTAAAATCTAATGAGTCCTGGTTGCTGGGAATCCAGTTTTTATTTCCCATAGTTTCTTAAGAAACCCTTTGGAGGACTCTTGAATCTGAATAAAATAGCTTAATGTTGCAACCAGTAAATATTCCCTTTGATATTTTTCTATTGAAATGTTAAACACGTCCTGTTTTAACTTGTATGCAACTGTATTAGATACATACCATGCCACTTTCCCTTGTAGACTGTCCCAAATGACCCGGATCCGATTCTCTGTCCCACTGTGATCTGCCCATCAGGAATCTCCCAATCATCACTTGAATCCCGTCTACCAAGTGTTTTCTTGATAAAATTTGTGCAGAAGTCAAGCCAAAGCAAACAAAAAAGAGAGAGCAACAATCAGTGTATAGGAATCCTTTAAGCAGAAAACTTACAGGATTATATATAATAATTATATTTATTTCATTAAGGGAATTCTGTGTCACATATTGACATATCATATCATACATTACTATATATCATATAGTCTAAAAGGTGGTATTACATTTAGCTATGACTTCTAAAACAAAAGAACTTAGAGGAAAAAAAGATATCATATATTCTTACCATTCGATTCCTATCTTCTGAGGATGAAGATGATTTCCTTTCCCGCTGAGGTCCTGGAGATTTCTGTAATGCTTTCACATTAGTGAGTGAGCCAGGCAATGAGGCAGGGGGGGTGGCAGACAAACCAGTGGTTGATCCTAAGTTAGTGAAACGAAAAATACATCTATTAAAGGAGGATCAAGTATATTAATTTATTGGGGGCAGAGGCTGGGGAGAAATTTAGACTTCTTTTGAAAATGCAGCAGATCTTTAAATATACACCTTTTGGAAATGACAGCCAAAAAAGAGCCTCATTTGGTGATTTGCACTACCATTTCTTTAAGTTTTCTGGCTAATTTAATGACTTTTCTTTTTTAATTTAATGACTCTTAAAACATCTGATTACAGATAAAAACTTTGCTTATTGGTACAGAGTCCAGAAAAAAAAATTACCCTTCTAAAATAAGAGTTCAATACTACAACAATACTCCCAAGTTTTGGTTTCTTTGATGATTAAAAAAGTAAAATCAATTTAAAAGCTTATATATATGTAAAACTCTGTAACTATTTTATGTTACCCTCTATAGCCAATCAATATAAAAACAGATGGAAACTCCCAAAAGGAAACATACTATAATAATGGCCTTAATGTTAAGAGTATCTGGCTCTATCATTTTAGCCACTAAAACTTTAAAAATCCTATGTTTAACTATACTATTTAACTCTTAGTTGTAAATATTGGTGAGTTCATTGGTTCCTGGATTCCTAGTCTACTAAACAAAGATCATTTGTTACCCGCATAACAAACTAATGTAAATTAATTAATTAATTAATGTAAACAAACCCGAACAGGTTTCTCAAGATTTTTTGAAAAATTGCTACCTGTACAGCGTGAGAACAAAGTGCATGCTATGGCCTCTTGGCCAAGTTGCTACAAATGGAAATATCCTATCAACCAAGTGAGCCCAACAGATACACTGAAAGTAGACTCAGGGGGCAGGGCCACATCCTTTTCCAAATGCTAAGCAAAAATCTCAAGTTCATCTACTGGGTTTAGAGGGGTTCAGGCCAATGACTCCTAGCAGGGCCTAAGTATAGCTAAGTAGAACTGAGATGTCCAATAATATTTGCATATACAGAACAAAAAGATTTCCAGAGAATCTTATCTTTTCTTTTCTTTCTTTCTTTTTTTTTTTTTTTTAAGAAAATTACTATTTGGAGGTAGGGAGGTGTCACTATCTTTCAAAGAATAAGGATACACCAGTGCATACATCTCAATCTTAAAACTATAGAATTTCATCATTACTATATCACACATGTCATCACATAGAATTTCCATGATCTAACTTGCAATTTTTTAAAAGAAAATGGCATCTGGAATGTCTGTAACTAGAGGATAATCATTTTCACTGGTAACTTTCAACATCCTAAAGCCTTAACTGCTGCTCAGGCCTCACACTCCTATCTACTGAGGATGGCACTCAACTACTTATTTCGGTCACACTCCTCAGCACTCAGGCAGGACTTCTAGCCCATTCTGTGGATTTTATGAGCAATAGGTGGAGAGCAAAAATCTGAAACACCACCACTAAATTCAGAATAAGTAAAAGAAAGTAGCAAAGGCAGTAAATGGAATTCTTTAAAAATATCTACAGCAAGATATCTGTCTGAATTTTGACTTAAATATTTAAAAATTGAGAGTGCAATTATACTATTAGCTTTCCCCCTCATATTAGGGTATAAGTGAGACCGTCAATCCTCATATTTTCTAAAGTATGCTAAAGTACCCCAAATATATTATAGACCTTTTTTAAGGCTCCCTACCTTTAATATAAAATGTACATGTCCTACATTTAAAAAAAGAATACTGCTCTTACAGAAAAATAAAGCCAGAAGTCTAGCAAAATCTCATAATTGGAATTTCCATTTTTACTTTTTTAAAAACCACACAAATTGATAACAAATATTAATAGTCATAAAGGCTACTGCCTAAATGGATTAAAATAAAAGTAATTCAAATTGAAGGACACCCCTGCCCCAGCATATATTATTTATTGCAACCCACTGAGTTTAAGTAAAGTTACCAAGAGCAAAAACTAAGTGAAATAACAAAAAACAAGATGGACATCTCAGCACAGAATTTTCTTGCTTTTAGAAATTTATGACGGACAGCATACAGAAAGCTTGTGGTAGTGAGTTATGTGTGAGGCACATTCAGAGCATTCCAGCCAGGCCAAGCAGAAATTTAGTACTGAAAACTCTCACACTTACAAACACACGCTGTGAGGGTGAGGCACAAACAGTGTCTGTAGTTTATATTTAGTTTGCTTTGGGTGAAAACAAGAAAGAAGAGCCCAACTACCTCTGAACACTGGGCCAGGCTCAAAATCAAACACTATTTCACTGGGGACAGAATGTAGGAGGGGACTGGGAGTCCGGGATTGGCATTTCCGAAGACAGCGCATCAGCTCGTTCAAAGGGGCTGTTAGAAGAGAAAGAGAGGGGCAGGCAAACACAGGAAGACAGACACAAAGAAGAAATGAAAGAAGTCACGGGAATAAATGAGCTGAAGCCTGCTTCACAAAGTAATTCTGGATGTCTAAAAATTTCTGCTTGTTTTCATAAAATCCCAATGACTTTTTATAAAGTGACTCATAACAAGGACAAGAAATGCCATTTGATTTTTGCTACTAGGCAGGCAGTTTGTATGACTAAGTTAACTCTGTGATGCTAACATGATGGCAACATTTAAATGCTGGATGTATTGGGCAAAATTATCAAAAGCCACAGTCATTAAGACATATGAAAGTCAAACTTGCAGCAACATTAATTGGCAGGTTCACAGAATAACAAATGGAAAAAAACCACAACTTTTTTATACAACGTTTATTCAATATAAAATATCTTTAAGTCTGGGCTTAGATATTTTCAAGATAAAGCAGGTCACAGTGAAGAGACTGACTCTCAACAAGATAAACAGGTTTTGCCAAGTCTTCTTTATTAGACAGAAGACAGCTGAAAAAGCAAGCATGGAGGACCACCTGGAAGAAATCTTTAAGACAGTTTCAAATATCATTTTTGGGAAAACCTTATATGGGGCAAAATCTTACTTTAAAAGTACTTTCTTAAGCAATGTTTTATGTCCCCAGTTTTCAGAGAGTGCTAGAGTGAATATTTGATGAAAATTCTGCTAAGAAATCTCAACTCAAGTGTTCATTTTATTTACTGGATGAATAAGAGGACAACAGGATTTAGGGTCCATTCTTAGGGTCCATTCTATATTATGTACATTTCGAATCCTTCTAGAAACCTGAAGAGAAGAGGCTGACAATTCTATCAAACTGAGAAGTTGTGACAGGCAACCTAAGGGATTTTCCCTAAGAATGATTAAGGAAAATCAAGTTTTAACTGATTCTAAGCTCAATCATTAACAAGTAGAGGTATTAGTGGAGGCTTCCAAAGGAAATTTAGCATCTCGAGTTTTGGAGATGGTTAGAAACCAGTAGTGGGTAAAATAGTTAAGACCCTCTCTTTGATGATTTTAAAATTGTGGATAATACATTTAAGACTCCCTTTTATGTCCTCTTTTTCTCTACTCATAAATCAGTTAATATTGTATTAGATATAAATGACAAATAATAAAGTAAAGCAAAAAATATCTGGGGCTTTCTCTACACATTTTTCTCTGTGTCTGTGTTTCATGATAGAAGCAAATATAAAGGAGACAAGCAGCAAAGCAATTGCATTTTTCCCTGAGGTTTTTTTTTTTTTTTTTTTAAATGGAAATCACTACTTACCTCCGTCACTACGAAACCCTTGGTCTCTAATCAAGTCCTACAAATAAACAGTAATGGATATTTATTCAAAGAATATGGTAAGAAAGTAATAGCAACACTCAACTTTTCACTAACCATTAATAGAAAGGTTAATTCAAAATAATACCTATCTTCTAATGACTTCACAAAACAGAAAGAATATGAAAATAGCTGGTGAACCTGATTAACATTTGGAAGCACCTACCAAACTAACCCTATATTGAAGGGATTATTAGTCCTGATCAAATGCTGAAATCCAGTTCAGGCTATTCAAAACCAATGGCTGTGTCACTTCTTAAAAAAAATTCTAACGGCACATGTTAAGAGCCATAAAATGTTCATACCCTTTGATCCTGTAATTCCACTTCTGGGAATTTTTCCTAAGGAAATAATTCAGAAGAAAAAATGATATGCACAAGGATGTCCAGTGCAGCATTATCCATCATACTTAAAAAGTCAGAAATAATTATTTCCCTATTATAGACATACTGACATTTGGGTTGAGTAAATTATGGCACATCAATTTAGTAAGTATTATGCAGCTACTGAAATAATTATGAAGCTTGTATCATGAAACATGTTTACCATATGATAAAAAATTAAATGTACATGGATCACAATTATAAAAATACAGATGTGTAAGGAAACATGAGAAGGGAGAAAATCAAAATGGTTCAAACAAGGGTTTTGCCAAAATCTGTCTTTATGATTAAAACACAGCTTTTTTACAACAGACAATATTGGGGGTGGGGAGCGAAAAGTTTACTAGCATTGCTTGGACCCTACAGGCAGAACTTCATTTTTTATCCAGTTTAACTTAAATATGAAGGATCGAATGGCCCCAAATGTCTCTAAACAGGCTCAAAGGATCTTTGCAAAGAGGTGGCTTTCTGTTTATAGATTAAGACCTAGAGTAAATTCCACAGATGCATTTCTATCATGTATTACATAAAGCCTTCAACATCTTCTACAGAATAACCAACAAATACTTATATATTTGGCAAACAAGGTGCTAGGCATTAGGGGTTGTGTGGCTACCAATAAATACAAAATCCTAGCGGTGTCACTAACTTTGTGTTCTTGAGAGAGTTTGTAATCTAAGTGGAAGAAAGACATACAAACATGGAAGTTAAATAATAAATGAATAGCTTAAGAAAACAAAAAGAGGTGCCAAAGAGGTTTAGTTAACTGCCAAACAAATAGTATGGGTGAAAGATTTTTCTTTTAAAGATTCTACTTATGTATTTGACAGAGAGAGAGCACAGGCAGTGGGGATCAGCAGGCAGAGGGAGAGGAAGAAGCAGGCTTCCCATGGAGCGGAGAGCCCGACACAGGGCTAGATCCAAGGATCCTGGGATCATGACCTGAGCCCAAGGCAGATGCTTAACTGACTGAGCCACCCAGGTGCCTCAGTGCTATACAAGTTCAAAGGATAAATAACTGTAAGACCTTATCACTGGTGAAGCATTTCAAGAGATGAGCTATTATTTGGGGTCTGAGGGATAGACAGGAATGTAGGGGGGCGGGAACCAGAGGACCCATTGGACAGAAAGAATGAGACAAAGGCAGAAAGGCCACATTGCTTTCCTTTTTGCTACACCAGCCTGGTGACTCCCCATAACCAGGGATCAGCCAATTTTGGCTTTTTCCACTCTTCCTGCACCATAAACTTCTACTTTTCTATCTGTTCTTAAAATTCTTTGACAACCTTTTTATTTGTTCTAGGTGAAAGAGGATCTTCTATTATTCCAATACTGGCTCTTTCAAATTCTTTCTCATCTCCTGTAGTTCCTTTCTTATTATTTTTTCCCTTGAGCATGATAGAGAAAACAGAAGCCATCAGAGAACATTCTGTTTTGCCCCTATATTTATGAATATTTGCACGGTAATGTTAGCTACAATTTCTGAATTCTTACTATGTGCAAGGCACAATAAGAATTTTCAATCCACTGTAAGAGGTAGAAAGTGCTAGCTTCAAGGTTAAGTCATGTGCCCAAGATCATACAGCCTGTAAAGAGCTACAGAGCTCTAGCTATGTTCTTCTTTAATTCCTCATAGCCTCTGAGGAACATTGTTTCCACATTAAAGGAACTTTACTATATCAATTATTCCATATCTTGTTATTTTCAATCTCTCACACTTCACTTGCTTTTTTCCCTCAAGTTACAAATCTCACATTAAGGGGTACCTGGGTGGCTCAGTCGTTAAGCATCTGCCTTTGGCTCAGGTCATGATCCCAGGGTCCTGGGATTCAGCCCCGCACCAGGCTCCCTCCTCGGTGGGAGGCCTGCTTCTCCCTCTCCCGCTCCCCCTGCTTGGGTTCCCTCTCTTGCTGTGTCTCTGTCAAATAAATAAATAAAACCTTTAAAAAAAAGATTCTCACATTAAAAACAACTGTCCCGCAACCCTGCTTTAATCTATGGCACCTTTGTTAATTCCTTTACAGCCAAGCTTCTCAAAACTGACACTTAACTCACATCTTTGCCTGCCTTGCTCTCCCCCACCAGCCCTCTCAAACAGTTCTCAATGAAATCAAAATGACAAAATGACATAGTCCAACAGTCATTTTCAGTCATTCTCACATTTGAGTCTCACTGGCGACTAACATCAACTACTTCAGCATTCTTGAAGTCCCTTTTCTCCCTTTGGCTTCTGCAACACTACTTACTCTTACTCATATGAAGTTAAAATTAGGAAGAGCAGCCCACAAAAGAGACACAGAACCAAAGTCTCTGCCTGGACCTCAAACGTTAGTAATATTCAATGGGGCCGCATATTCTATCCTTTTGGCAATTTACATATACTCCTTGAGTAATATTTACACTCACGGTTTTAACTGACAAATACTCCAAAATCTGTATCTCTACTCAAGGTCTTTATATTTAACTGCTACTGGACTTCTAAACCAGTGAAGTCCCTTAGACATCTTAATGTCAGTATGTTCAAAATAATAGTTACCATTTTCATTTATACAAGTCCTGTTCTTTTTCCTTTGGTATTTCCTATCCTAATGTATGGAATGAATACCATCTATTCACCCAAGCCAGAGAAATCTTGGTATTATCTTCCACCTCTCATCTCTTTCACCTCTTTCTTCTATTACTTTATGGAACAGTGGTTAAGCATAAGCAGGAAAGAGCAGGTTTTATACTCCATTTCAATAATTTATCAGTGATGTGATCTTGAGACATTTCTTAACCTCCCCAAATCTAATTTTCTCAACAGTAAAATAAGAATAAAAATAGTACTTAACCCATGAGTATTTATCGGGACAGAATAAGAAAATTTATGCAAAGCACTTAGTACACTACTTGCCATAAAGTAAGCGTTCATAAACAGTAGGCATTTTCAATATCATTCCTAACAGTCTTGCCTACAAATCTCTCATGAATTCAAAAGATTCTTCCAGAATATAGAGCTGAGCACTTTCTCTCCCACTCAAAATTTTTCGAACTCCCTACTACCAACTCCTACAGAGACCTTAAAGTAAGACACAACGCCTTTCAGTATGGACTCTACCTACCTAGTTTTGTCTTCTACCATTCCCCACCCTTCTTCTAAGCCCTAAACTCCTACAATATCAACTATTAATTACATCCCATGCAAAGATACTTCCATACTTTTGCACGTACCATGTCCTTAACAACTGTCCTTTCTTCTAAAACCCCCACCAAGCGTCCTTAATCAACTCCTACACATTCACCTTTTACAATGTGATCTAAATGTTACCCTTTCTCTGTTAAATACTCTTATACACAACAAGTTAAGAGTTTATTACCCTCTTCTTCATGTCTCTTTATTTATATGTCTGATTCACCCACTAGACTGTAACTTCTTTGAGGTCAAAGATTGTGCTAATTCATCCTTAATTCCCAATTCTGTCATACTGCCTCTCTCAGAGTCAGTACTGTCAAGTATGTCAAAAACAAGTCAAAACAATCTTGTTTACTAGAATGATAAATGATAAATGATGATTGGAGCTGAATGAAATGACTTGAATTGAATGAAAATGCTAAAGAATTTATACATTATCTTATAATCAGTGAGAAGTCAAAGTTTTCGAACAAGGAAACAGATGATGACAGAGATGTAAAAAAGTCCAGAGGGTAATAGTCTAAAAGGATGTTAGTACTGAAAGTAAAAATGGCTATAATTTTGAATATCATGAGAACAGACCTGAGAAGATTTTATTTGTTTTAAAGATTTTATTTATTTGACAGAGAGAGAAAGAGACAGCAATAGGGAACACAAGCAGGGGGAGTGGGAGAGGGACCAGGGTTCCCCTTGAGCAGGGAGCCTGAGGCAGGGCTTGATCCTGGGATCAAGACCTGAGCCACAGGCAGATGCTTAATGACTGAGCCATCCAGGTGCCCCAAGATTTGATTTCTTATTTCACAATCTCATTATTCCCATATTTCCCTCTCCTACTTTTTTCTTCCTTTGTATTCAGGTCTAGTTAGATAAAGGAAGACTTTATTAGTTGAGAAAAATTGGTATTAGGAAAAGGCCACTTAAAATGAATCCAATAAAAATAGAGAAAAAATTTCAAAGTAAAAAGTGGGAGGGGCGCCTTGGTGGCTCAGTTGGTTAAGCCTCTGCCTTCAGCTCAGGTCATCATCTCAGGGTCCTGGGATCAAGTCCCACATTGGGCTCTCTACTTAGCAAGGAGCTGCTTCCCCCTCTCTCTCTACCTGCCTTTCTGCCTACTTGTGAACTCTTTCTCTGTCAAATAAATAAATGAAATCTCCAAAAAAAAAAAAAAAAAAAAAAGTGGGAACAAAGTCCAGAATTTAGAAATTTATCTTGAAAAATGAAATTAAAATCTGTAATAAAGTTTTACTTTTACATTAATAAATTTTGTTTTTGTTTTTGTTTTTGTTTTTTTGAGGATTTATTTATTTATTTATTTGAGAGAAAGAAGGTGGGGGAAAGGAAGAGGGACAGAGAGAATCCTGAAGCAGAATCTACACTGAGTACTGAGCCCAATGCAGGGTTTGATCCCAGGAAACAGAGATCATGACCTCAGCTGAAATCAAGAGTCGGCCATGCAACTAACTGAGCCACCCAGGTGCCCCAGCAAACTTTAAGTTATAATTTCAAATGCTAATTCTTAGACATCAAGGTTTTTTTGCTGTTGTTGTTCTTAATACAAAAGTTGTGATAGCACGAACTAAAATCCTCAATGTCATATTCACCTTTTACATCACAAGCATAATCATTTTTATAAAAATTGTAGGCACACCTGGGTGACTCAGTTAAACGGCTAACTCTTGGTTTTGGCTCAGGTTATGATCTCAGGGTCCTGAGATGGAGCCCTGTGTTGGGCTCTACACTCAGCAGGAAATTTGCTTGAGGGTTCTCTCCCTCTGCCTCTGCCCCTCCACCTGCTCATGCTCTCTTTTTCTAAAATAAATAAATAAATCTTTATAAAAATTTTAGAGGGCTTCATCAATTCCCTGAAGGGCCTCTATCAATCCTTTGATACTTAAATAATTTTCATTTGAAGAGCCTATTATATTGTCATTTCACTGCATCTTTTCTATTGTTAACTGGACTAATTTATTTCTACTGAATTCCTTATTTCTCAGTGGCTTTTCATAATTTCAGTAGTTCTTCAAAGTCCTTTTTCACTGTCTTCATAAAAGCTTTAAAATCTTTCCTTTTTGTGGGGGGGCAGATTTGCAATCAATCTGCACTATGTTTTCATTGAAATGTTGGATAATAATGTAAAGGGACTGGAATGCAAACTGGTATTAGATGGGGAGGGATGTTTGTGGGGGGATTAATATTAAAGTAGTCTGTTACTAAGTGAATATTTTCCTGTTAGGACAATTTTTTGCTTCTCTACTCAACCTCGTAACTATGAGGACTCACATAAGGAATACCTGTAAAATGAGAAAAATTCCCATCTTCTAACACACTAGTAATCACCTCACTAATTCTAATACCCTGTTTACCTGGGGAAACAGTTTTAACTTCCTTTTTATTTTTATTATTTTTATTTTTATCATTTTTAAAATTTATTATTTTTATTATTTATTTTAATTTCCTTTTAAAATACAAATTACTTTCCAAGGCAAACAAGCTTGGTGGGTTTTGTGTTTTGTTGCTTATTACAGAGATTAAGGATAACCTACATTCTTTCTATGAAAGCACAAATTCTGGGAGAAGAGACTCCTAATTCTAAGACCAGGATCCTCAGCCCACTACAGCTCAGGTAGCAAGGGCAAATTATTATCTTCTGTAACTCAATTATCGGATTATCCTGTAAAGAAAGTTTTGTGGAAATGAAGCCATACCCATTTGTTTCTAATGTATTATATCTGGCTGTTCTCACACTACAATGACAAAATTCAACAGCTGTCATTAGAGATCATACGACCCATAAGCCAAAGTATTTAGTATTTAGCCATTTAAGAAAAAGTTTGTTGATCCCTGGTCTAAAATATGGGAAATTTCCTGTTTCATATTCTTACCCTTTTACTGAAACAAACATTTTTTTGATGATCATTTATGCATTTAGTTCTAAGACAGGGGCCAAGTGAGCTAATATTAGGAATGGTTTCTGCCGCCAAGAAGATTTAATTGAAGAAGCAACTAAGGTAAGTTACAGTGCATAAGATAAAAGTGGAAAAGTAAAAACATCGAGAGTGACCAGCCAAAGGGTGGTTAAAATAACTGATACAATGATTACACAAGAGAAGATATGTTTTTAAAAACGAAAGATTAAAATCTAATGAGAAACTTTACCAAAAAAATGCAAATATTCATGATATATAGAGAGATGGAATACAATGGTATAGTCAAAAAAGTAAGGAAGGTAAAAGGTAGTTTTGCGTGTCTTGTACATGAAGTAATGATTAGTTCTTAAGGGTTATTTAACTCAAAGTTGTACTTTTAGAAATTTAGATAAAGATCTCAAATTGATCTTAATAGAAAATCTGCAGTTGTATTCCTATTTTGTTACCATAAAATGGCCAAGGGACTATCTGTTAAACAAACGAAGAAGATAAGATTTTTGCAGAAACAATGTCGTAAGGAAAAAAATCAGAACAACTCCATAATGCGGCACCAGTTAAGTATTTAATACCATCAGAGAAGATGACAAAGCTTTTCTGATCAGTAATTCATGAAAAAGTCTATCGATAATAATAGCTGACATGCATTTCTGATCTATATTACAAGTATAGCACCAAAAAAGAGATACACTCCAATTTTTTTTAGTTCTAACAATGCTGGATTACTTACATCAATATTGACAGGTTCTATTGTGTTTATATGCACATTTGGAGCTGATGAGGACCGGTCTCGTTGTCCAAATTGATTTCGATGATCTTCATCTGCTGGTCGGAAAGGCTGTGGAATTGGAATGGATTTTGAAGGAGACGGACTGGTGAGGATTTGGGGCCTGGAAAAATCAAGTCATTGAAAGATAAGATTCAGAGCAACTTTACAGAGATAATAACATTAAAAAAATGGATGATATAAAGATTTCCTTGTAAAGCATTCAAAACCTAGCAGTAATTGGGTTAAAAAAAACTAATATATGCCTACAGCTAATACTGACAAAGCTGCTTTGGCTCAAGCAGATCCTCTGGGGACTATGAATGGTAACTGATTCTTATCCAAAAAACTCCAGGGAAATCTACAAATGGTGAGAAATTACCTGTGGTTACTCAGCTAAAGGAACTCTCTAAAGTTACACAAAAATCCCTAGATACTAGAGACTGACTGAATAGTATCTGCTATTTTATTCTACCTTTATCTTTTCCTGACAGCTGAAGTTACTAAAATGAGATTTTTATGCAAAGTATTAGGAAATTACGAATATTTTGAAAATACACCTGTGGATTTCAGGGCCTGAAAGATATATCTGTTGCTCTACATAGCATTGAATTAAAGTCTTGAACAATAGCAAAAGATCATTTGCAAATCCAAAAGATGACCCTTATAGTGTTATCTCTCATATTTTAAACTTTTTACCATGTAATAACTGAGCAACAAAAAAGAATCACATGTTAAGCATTAAAGAAAATCTTTTTAACAAATTGCTTTTTTTTTTTTTTAAAGATTTTATTTGTTTATTTGTCAGAGAGAGAGAGAGGGAGAGAGAGCAAGCACAGGCAGACAGAATGGCAGGCAGAGGCAGAGGGAGAAGCAGGCTCCCTGATGAGCAAGGAGCCCGATGTGGGACTCGATCCCAGGACGCTGGGATCATGACCTGAGCCGAAGGCAGCTGCCCAACCAACTGAGCCACTCAGGCGTCCCTGAAAAATTGCTTTTTGATGAGATCATCAAAATAGGTAAGAGAATGATCTATTTTGGTACTGTAGATAAATAACAAATTCTATGATATCTCACGGCCCTGAAATGAACCTGGCACTCACAGAGCACACTGAAGTTTTGCAAAGAGATTGTAAACATCAGTGAGGAGTCTAGGTCCCTCAGAAGGGATAGCCAAGGAATTGGGAGGGGGATATCACATGATAGAGGAGGTACAGTTGTCTCAGTGAGCTCCGTGAAGACCAATGAATGACACAATGCTAACAGCCTCTCCATAGAGATTGGTTATCATTCCACCCCATTTTATGCAATCTCTGTAATAAGTGGTTATTAAGACATAGCCAGAAAGACAATGTGGAGGAATACAAACACATTTTGTGAGTGGACAGGGTTTAGAGAGGAATCGGAAGAAAATATAGTACAAAAGGAATAGACAGAGGTTTGAAGGGCCAAAGAAGCCAAACAACGACAAAAAGTTTTTTTGTTTTTTTTTTAAAGGTTCTGAATAGGGGCGCCTGGGTGGCTCAGTGGGTTAAGCCTCTGCCTCTGACTCAGGTCATGATCCCAGAGTCCTGGGATCGAGCCCAGCATTGGGCTCTCTGCTCAGCAGGGAGCCTGCTTCCCTTTCTTTCTTTGCCTGCCTCTCTACTTGTGATCGCTCTCTCTCTGTTAAATAAATAAATAAAATCTTTAAAAGGTTCTGAATAAAGCACGTTAACAAAACCTGAACCACACCAGTTTACAGTTTGACTCTCTGAAGAGAAAGGGCAGAGAAAGAAATTTTGAGTTTATCTGTTCTTATAAATGGAGTCCACTTAGAACTGAAATAAAATAAAAGATTATGTACTTTAAAAAATTAGTATCACCCAATGAGAATTACAGGCTAAAACTGATGGATTTGGCCTTCAGAAAAGTTACCATGCTCCACTTGTCCTTTTTACTCTATTAATTACTGAGAAATTTTTAGTTTGTGACAGGGCTCTCTTTGTTTTAGGCAGCCAACATATGTCTTGTGCTGAGGTGTTTGGGGAACAGGTATAAGAATGTAAAAATGACAAAACTTTTTTTTTTTTTTAAAGTTTTGGAAAACGCACCTACTTTTAAAAAACCATAGCTGATTTAAAGTCTCAAGTCAATAGCATAGTTAGTTTAAGTTAGGACTTAAAAGTGGAAAGAGCTTGAATTAACTACAGTTGTAGAGGGAGTCTAATTAATATAATTGATCTGGCACAGGCCTAAATGATAGCAAGTCATTCCTGAAAGTCACTAAATTAAGATTTTGACTGCAATGTGTAGTTTTATAACAAAGCAGAACATGTATTCAAAGGGCACTGGTCCAGAAGTAGGAAAAGCAAAACCTGGATTTAATATGAGCGATTTTATTACCTAAAGAGAAGAACAGATATATTAGAAAGAGATGATATCTTGCCTATTACACAAACTCAGAAAGAGTCTATTTGACAGTTGGTATCTACCACCACCCAGTAAAAGGCATATAAGGTCAATCTTCCTAGCCCTGACAGCAAATATATAACTCTGGATAAAACTGCAAGTAGCTATGTCCTGGTACCATTAAACATCTGAGTCATGTACTAATCCCATGCTTAACAAAAGCAATCTTTGGATTATAATTTGGTTTGTCATAAATATCTTCTAAAAGCAGACAGAGTGCTGGTCCATCCAACATATGAACTTTGGTCTATACACAGCTATATTTCTCATGGAAATGAATTTACCTGGAATTCTGATTTAGTCTTTTCTAATTCCGGTCACTGTAAACCAGTTTATCTCTAATAATTCTCATCATTTGTGGGAACTGATAAAATTCAGTTTCCATACTGGGATGTCTTTACCTGGACCAAGACGATTTATACCCTATGAAATATGTTGGGAGCCAGCAAACTGGTTTTCTCCCGACACCTCTATCTATTTTGCTGCAAACCTCTTCAAAGCAGTATTAGATTAAAAAGAGAAAAAATGTTACCTTTAAAACCCTTCAGCAAATTACCAGTTAGTTTATATCTCATTTTTCAATCTAGAAATCTTAAAAGTTTTTTTAAGAGTATTAAAAGTTTTGAAGCAAAGTGACTACTTCTGTTCAGCAATATGCAAATTTTAAAACACTGACTTTTCAAATACTCAAACATCCCATAGCATTTTTAAAAAGCAGAAATGGAGGTACAAACTGGCCAATGTATCACTTCAATATTTCTTGGTTACATCCATTATTGTATGTATTTCATGAGCACTATAGTTGTTATAAGTACTATTAACAAAATGCAAAGGAACAGCAGTATAGACAGGATTGGCTTCTATCTTTTCATAGGCACATACAGACACTTGTGACATAAAAGCATCAGGAAAACAAAAGTTAGAACACCTTTCTTATCATTTGCTCAAGACCAGAATGTACTTTGGTTTAGTTATAAATAAAATACTCGTGGCATAAGCAAATGGTTCTCAGTTTTAAGATAGCAACCTTTCAGTGGAAGGTAACTGTCTGCATCATTACCATTATAAACCTTCAGAAAGACCATGTTAATTTCATTGTGGTGTTCTGTAACTCTGCTCACAGAACTGGGACCTGCCAGGAGTAAATGCCGTAGCCAAAATATTAATTAAAAACCAAAACAAACAATAACAACACTTTGATCTAAGAAAGACCCAGGTACTATAAAACTAACGATAGAGACAGTAGGAATAAAAGGACTCCAACAGACCAGGTAACTGTTATAACCTGACCAAAAAAAAAAAAAAAAAAAAAAAAAAAAAAGGCTGCATTTTCTAGTGTTCCAAAGTAGATAAAAGCATCCAGTCTTTAATACAAATCTTTTGCTAATTTTTCTAGCCTATGAAACCTCTAGAAAGGTTGGCTTTGTAAAATTACAGGTTTCAGGATTGTCCACTTATTTTTTTCTGTCTTTAGGTAGAAAAGATAGCATTACATTGTAAAGAGAGGAAGGAAGTAGGGTTCAAACTGACAATAAATATTCATGATCTTAACTAATTATCTCTGGAATATTATAGAACAGAATGGTATGTGGGGACATTTTTTTAAACATATGCTTCCAAATACAGCATAATTTATTCTGTCTCAAATCCAAAAGGTAAAGAGAAAGCAGACCTATGTAAGAAATTCTCCAAAACACTAATATCTGCTACTCATCATCATCTTTTTTTTCCCTCCTATGAAGCTTGAATATATGGTGCTTTATATCACCTTTAAAGTCAGTTTTACCTTTATCTTCCACAACTAATACTATTAATATTTTTCTTTACACATATCCATCCCTTCTCCCCATTCCCTTTGTTTATGCTATTTCTCCCTCACCAACCCACCACCACGCTTTTTATTCCCTGGATTCATTCAGATTCTAGAATTCTTCAAAGTTCAGTTCAAATCCCATTTCTTCACTAAATATTTTTGACTACTCTCGCTTTTCTCCTGTTTACGGGAAACATGATCATATTTATGTCCTCACATGGTTTAAAATATCATAGCATCTGAGAAACTGTAGACTATAATTATATACAATTTTTAAATTGTTTGCCATTGTCTCACTGGTCAATGCTACTTTTCTAAACGGGGATCATATACTTCTATATTTAATATTACCTAATAAAGTGATGAGCACAAGGCAGGGACTCTTAACAAATGCATGTACGAATTTGTAACTTATTTTAGTTACCTGAAGAAAAATCCTTAATTTAACAATCCAAGTAGTTCGAAAGGTTTATAATTAACCAAAAGATCCAAAAGAAACTAGCTCAAAAAGCACTGTCATTGAACAGCAGGAGTCAAGTCATACCCAGTAGAATCGGAGGGGGGAGCAGAAGGGGATGATCCGGACGAAAGGGCAGTCTCTGCTATGGAGGCCTCCTCCTGTGGTATTGGGTGGTGTTCAAAGAACTTGGAGACAAACAGCAAACTGTGAGGCAAAAACAAAAACAAAACAAAACAAACCTAACTTGTGCAAAACCCAGAAGCTTCATACACCAGAATACATTATAGAGTTAACAGAAATATTTGGGATCAAATTCTACTTTCAGAAATGACTGTTAAATTCAATTAGTTGTGTTTTTGCCTGAAGGCTTATTAAAAAAAAAATTACATTGTACTTTGAAAAGCAAGCTTATAATCTAAAACTAACTGCTCTATACAGCGAATTTCTATATATTAGAGAGGAAAAATCATGCTGTATGGTTAAGGAATTAGAAGAAAATATATCTACCCTCTCAGATTACATCATTATAACATACTTTATAGAGCTGAATTCTCTTTGCTCAAGTGATTGAGAAAAGTAAAAAGACCTTAGCAGTAGTAGCAGCAACAACAACAAAAAAGATTACGATAGACTTAGTCTAGTCTATTACAGAAACTCCGGCATAAAGCAAATAGAAATTTTAGAAAGAGATACACTGGGTACAAAGATTTTATATCTTACTTTTAAATAAACTGGGCAGGGGAGGTTGAAGGAGAGAGAAAGAGAGAGAGAGAATACATATAATTTACAAAATAGTGATAGAACCAGAACCCCGATCTGTGATCCAAAAATACAATGGTTAACTTAATTGAAATCACACCCACTCTCCTCCCAAAAACCATCTCAAAATGATGTCTATGGGCAAGGGATCTTTATTAATTAAAAGAGGGTTTAAGACATAAATGAGATGTATAGCTTAATCAGAATTACAATTCAGGAGAGCAGTAATGGCTATACTACAGCATATTCTCCAGGCATCCTTTTTAAATTCCCCATAACTCTACTGGACAGAAAGTTCCCAGGCTCTAAGATACACTAGTTTCACATAAAGAAAAGTAAAATGTCGGTAGAAAAGAGACTTTTTTGATTACTTACTCAAGTTGGTCATAATTAACACACATCAGTGGGACCTCTGTACTACAACGCTGGTGAAATTTATAACCACATGTTTGACAGCGAAAACCCTGGAAAAGCAGCTTTCGACAAAAGTCACAAAATGCTAAGGTGAAAAAAGTTTTCCGTACCTGCAAAGTAAAAAACACCACAGAGAATTTCAAAAACTTGCAAGAATCTTCTCAGAAATCAACTTATTTACTCTCTTGCTTAAAATAACAAATCTTTAATATGTTCATATCATGAGAGTGCCTTACATAAGAAGATATTAAAATGAAAACCGGGGAGGGGTTCAAGACAATAGATGGACTACATGTATTTATCTCCCACCCAATACTACTATTATAAAACTCAGAAGTCGAGAAGATGTAAAGTGAGTAAAAGACTGGAAACTATTTTCAAGCTTGACTCCATAAAAGTCAAAACAGAGATGATAACTGGAAACTATTTTCAAGCTTGACTTCATAAAAGTCAAAACAGAGATGATGAATAGAAGGAGGGATCAGGGATGAAAGGAAGGGTAAGGGCATACTTTAGTAATGGTACAAAGAAAGGAGTTAAGAGACGCTTACTGGTGCTGACAGAACAAGAAGCAAAGGTATCCTTCTATTACTTAAAGATACAAAGGTATCCAACAGAGGAACCCGCCCCCAAAACCAACCACCACCACCACCAAATCACACTGCAGAAGGGGAAGAAGGAAGAAGAAATGTAATGCTACAAATGAACTAATTCCCTTTGGAATCAGTAAATGGTGGCTGAAGTTGGTAAAGCAAGAAACTACTGCTTAAAGTAACTACTTAGTAATGGGAAGATAATCACTCAAAGAGCTTTCAAAACAGAAACTAACAAGGCTACAGGACAGGAAAATCACCTAAAAGACAGTAAGAACCACTTCTAACTAATTATTGGTTTGCTAGAGGATTAGAACACCTCAATTTGTGAACACTCCTCTCCAGGAAACTTAAAAGGCGATATGGAAGAACTCCATGTCAGAAGGCAAATGACTTACACAGAGGTCACCTAAAAGAACGGTGTTAGGGAGGCTCTACTGCGATAACTACTGAAGCCAGAAATTATTTTTAGCGTATCTGTTTTGGGTATAGAATAAGCAGAAAACGTAAGAGAAACACCAAAATGTTAACAGTGGCTACTTCAGAGTGGTGAGAGCATGCGTGACTCTATTTTGTCCTTTGTCTTTGCTGTGTGTGTGTGTGTGTGTGTGTGTGTGTGTGTGTGTGTGTATTTAAAGATTTTATTTATTTATTTGACAGAGACCAGTAGGCAGAGAGGCAGAAAGAGAGAGAGGGGGGAAGCAGGCTCCCTGCTGAGCAGAGAGCCTGATGTGGGGCTTGATCCCAGGACCCTGAGATCACGACCTAAGCCAAAGGCAGAGGCTTAACCCACTGAGCCACCCAGGCGCCCCTGCTGTGTGTATTCTTTATTCACCTTTTTCTCAGATAGTTTTCATCACTAACAATAATAAGAAACACATTTTACATCATGACCCAGGACACCCCTATATTCAGACACTAGTATTTACCCTAACTATATATAATATATATCAGGACTTCCTATTATATGGGAATGTTTTTTTATGATCCATTAAGTTGATTTCAATACCCACAGTTTACCAAACTTTTTTCAGTAAACATGCATTTAACAGGATAAAAAGTTTTCAAAAATAATGTCTCATCAGGAAAATGACATCTTAGCACATAAGGCACTCTAGGGTTTTTGAGAACATTCAGGTAATTTTAAGAGTGGCTCTTGTTTGCTTTACCTTTTGGGGTATGTGGCACTTTCTAGGGGATACAAAGGCAACTGCCTGTTTTTAGTTTTGTTACTGTTCTGTTTGTCTCTGGATATAAAAGAAATTAGAAAATCTTTAACATTTATGTTGGCTAATATTTGTCAAAGCAAGTGTTTTTTGTATTTCTTGCAGAATTTCAGAAAATAAAGCACAGAAAAATACAAAACGTGTTCCCAGGAATCAGCATTTTACAGTCCTCTGAGCCTCTCCTATCCTCTCCATTTCTCACTCACCTAATAATCTGTTAAGTTTCATGAAGCTCTAATTTCTCTTTTCATTAATCTACTCGCTGGCAGTCTTTCTTCCAGCTACTAATTCTACTTGAAAACTACGTGTACCAGACTATTTGTGTGTGTGAAGAAGAAAACCAAATAGGGCAGGAGGGGAGGAGAGAAGAAAGCAGAGAGGAGCGAAAATGAGGAGAAACAAATGTGGGAATGCATTTGAGTATAAATTGTGACATATAATTGGACCTGGGAATATACCTTTGTCAATAAAAGTGATTACAGGAAGGTGTATTTTCTTGTTTTTCTACCTCTCCTGCTTCCTCCACCCTGGCAGTTCCCAGGGACTCCTGAAATGTAGGCAAATACCATAGGAACTGCTTTTATAATGGACTCTAGGAAACTGGGAGGATAAGCAGCATTCCTTGAGTTGCCAGGAAATCCAGCAAAGGGAAGCAAAGGAATTCTCTCTCTTAAGTAGAACACTTGCTTTTACTCTTGCCTCTACATGACACTCAGTGCAATTGTTCTAAAACACAAATCCACATGTCTCCCTTGATCACAATCAATTTCCAATTATTTTAAAGGGAAGTGTAAATCTTTAATGTGCCTTACAAGGACTACTAGGAGCTGGATTCTTCTTACTCTACCCGTAACTCCTTCTACACTGTAACCAGCCCCTCTCCAACTTGACACCATTCCCCCTGAACTTCTTTCAAGACTGAGACGTCCCATGCTTTCTCCCTGTTTTCCTCTGGTGAGAGTGCTCTTCCCTTACCTCCATCTGCTATTCCCTCATCTCTCAGGCCTTAGCTTAGAGAGTTCTTCCTTTGGGAAACCTTCCTCACTCCCCAAAGGCTAGGTTAGGAGTCTACTCTGTGCATCTACTGTACTTTATACATACACAGTAATTAAGAGTGTTTATGAAATGTTCTTTTCAAAACATCTGTCTGTCTACTCGAAGGCAGGGATATTGTTTGTTCTTATTCATTGTCAGAGTCCCAGATCAGACACCGTGTTGGCAAATGGAAAGTTCTTAATAAATATTTAGTGGCAGGGCTTCAACTGTGTTGTGAGGATTTCCATACTCTGGAACTAGGCTGCAGCTTGTTTTCATTATCCTCTTCCAGCAAAGATCTTCTTGAGGCACCACTTTAATACCATTTTATGGTTAACAACTTAGGTCTCTTACCTCTCAGCTACTTTCTAGCCAAGAAAAATAATTAGGAAAAAGAGTAGTAATCTTCATGAAATGTGACCTCTATTGTTTTTGGATTCCTAAAAACTTAAAATTATCTTCAGATTTATCCACCTAAAATTCTACAAATTAAAAAAAATCAATAGTAATGAACTTGCTAGGTCATCATTACAAAACTATTCGCTACATAGTAAATCTGACTGACAACACTCATTGAAAAGATGCCTTATTGAAGCACAAATTATTCATCATTATTCACCACTAATGGAGCCCTGAAAACACAAATCCCCAAGGAAATCAGCTCATTACTCGTCTGCTTTAGGAGTCCAGCTATACTGATCACCAAAGCACATGGGAAAGAGCTTGATACCGAAAGGGAAGCAATAACTAGCTATCTATCCATCTAGAAAAAATAAACAATGGTCAAAATTCCAATAGGAAGTAAGAAAAGCATTCCTGCCTTATAGATCATTCTACTCCTGGCTTCTGCCTTACCCTTTCAGAGGGTAGGTTCTCAAGCTCTGGGCACTATATCCTCATCTCTAAGATGGAGATGCTCCACATTCCAGGTATCATGCTGGTGACACTTAGTTTAGGCTAGATTCCAGCAAATTCAAAAACCAGATGAAGGGAGAGGTCCTCAAGGACAGCTAGTCCATTTCCATTAACTCACCCTTCAGAAACATTTACACAAGTGTATCAAGATGTATGCAAAAAGATTCTGTTTAGCCCTGTACAAAACAGGTTAAAAAAAAACCTTAAATGTCTATTAATAGAGAATGGTTAAATATAAATATACTGAATTCATACTCTTATGGACTATTATGCAATCACTATAAACATAAAGCCAAGTGTACTGATGTGGAAAGACATCCATGATGGACTGTTTAATCTTTTTTTTTCTTTTTTTGGTTAAGGTGAAGACTATCACACAGAACAGGACTCCATTTTTAGTTTTAGGAAAGAGATGGAAATGAAGGGAAGGGAGAAAAAAAGAGAATGGAGAGAACTTTGGGCTCTCAAAGTATAAGCACATGTTTGTACAAGCAGAAAGTTTGGAAGACTACACAATAATTAACAAGTGTTTACCCTATTAGGTATTTTCCTTTTCCCATCTGATATACTTTTGTACCATTCAGATTTTCTTTTCAGCTCTTTTTATTGAAAGACATCTATTACTTTTTCAAATTAAAAAGAAAATAAAACTCTTTAGTTTAAATACAAATTTTTTAAAGAACAGAACTGATTTTCAACTTAGGTAAAATATCAGTCTCAAAATTATGCATCCATATTTCATATTCCCTAAACAAAAATTCATATGCAAGAACTTGAATGCTTTTGAAATTTGGAAAAAATGTAAAAGTACATACAAAGTTGTGTGTGGTAAGCGGGACATTTTCCAACACTTCTACATGTAGTTCCTCTCCAGTGAGCCAGGAAATATCAGTGTCCCAGCCAATCGGTTTCTTCTCTCTGAAAAGTGTAGAAATAGCTTTTCTTGGTTATCATATCTAAAAATCTTCATATACCTCATGCTGAAGACATGAAAATTGGTTATTGAGGGGCTAGTAATGGTGAGGGAGAGTTGGCTCCCTGGTCTTCCATCGTTAGAAATTTAAATGGCAATAAATTAATTTTTAAGTTTACCCCAAATAAATGTATCACTCTTGGACAAACAGCAGGGTAAAGAGATGTACTCTTTTCTTCAAGCCAGCTCCAGAAAAGACCTACAACAGCAGAAAATTGATTGTTCCTAGGGTCCCCTCCTCAAA